GATGTTTCGTACCTTACTTCGAATTGGGGGTTTAGTGTAGACCAAGCCTTACTGAGAGAGAAGCAGGAAGTACTGAATAACAGCAGCAGTGCGAAAGAAAAACAAAAATCTGGTTTGAATGTATTTTCTGCTTGTTTGTTTTCTACATTAGTTCTAAATGTTACAATCTTATGGGAGTCGTCTCTAGAGTTCCAAAGTCCCAAACTCCTGAACTTTCTGTTTCATAATAAATGTGTTCAAATACTAAGAAAATTTCTCATATGTAGGTGATAACTTGATCCAGTTTATTGTTTGAGGTAGTGTCTTTAACCATGATTATGATTGAATAAACCTTAATGGTGTGAGAGAATTTAACCTAGGATATGGTTATTGCCAAATTAAGAAATACCTCTTATGATTATACTGACAAGTGTTCACATGTTACATAAAGTAGAACAAACTGAAAAAGTATATTAATAGAATATCAGGGTTGGAAGGGACCTCAGGAGGTCATCTAGTCCAACCCCCTCCTCAAAGCAGGACCAATTCCCAACTAAATCATCCCAGCCAGGGCTTTGGCAAGCCTGACCTTAAAAACCTCTAAGGATGGAGATTCCACCACCTCCCTAGGTAACCCATTCCAGTGCTTCACCACCCTCCTAGTGAAGAAGTTTTTCCTAATATCCAACCTAAACCTCCCCCACTGCAACTTGAGACCATTATTCCTTGTTCTGTCATCAAGTATCACTGAGAACAGTCTAGATCCATCCTCTTTGGAACTTCCAGGTAGTTGAAAGCAGCTATCAAATCCCCCCTCATTCGTCTCTTCTGCAGACCAAACAATCCCAGTTCCCTCAGCCTCTCCTCGTAAGTCATGTGCTCCAGCCCCCTAATAATTTTTGTTGCCCTCCGCTGGACTCTTTCCAATTTTTCCACATCCTTCTTGTAGTGTGGGGCCCAAAACTGGACACAGTACTCCAGATGAGGCCTCACCAATGTCGAATAGAGGGGAATGATCACGTCCCTCGATCTGCTGGCAATGCCCCTACTTATACAGCCCAAAATGCCGTTAGCCTTGTTGGCAACAAGGGCACACTGTAACCCTTGGGTACAGCTTCTCGTCCACTGTACAGCTTGGGTACAGCTTCTCGTCCACTGTAACCCCTAGGTCCTTCTCGGCAGAACTGCTTCCTAGCCATTCGGTCCCTACTCTGTAACAATGAATGGGATTCATCTGTCCTAAGCGAAGGACTCTGCACTTGTCCTTGTTGAACCTCATCCGATTTCTTTTGGCCCAATCCTCTAATTTGTCTAGGTCCCTCTGTATACTATCCCTACCCTCCAGCCTATCTACCAGTTTAGTATCATCTGCAAACTTGCTGAGAGTGCAGTCCACGCCATCCTCCAGATCATTAATGAAGATATTGAACAAAACCGGCCCCAAGACCAACCCTTGGGGCTCTCCGCTTGAAACCGGCTGCCAACTAGACATGGAGCCGTTGATCACTACCCGTTGAGCCCGACGATCTAGCCAGCTTTCTATCCACCTTATAGGCCATTCATCCAGCCCATACTTCTTTAACTTGCTGGCAAGAATACTGTGGGAAACCATAACAAAAGCTTTGCTAAAGTCAATGAATAACACATCCACTGCTTTCCCCTCATCCACAGACCCAGTTATCTCCTCATAGAAGGCAATTAGGTTAGTCAGGCATGACTTGCCCTTGGTGAATCCATGCTGACTGTTCCTGATCACTTTCCTTTCCTCTAAGTGTTTCAGAATTGATTCATTGAGGACCTGCTCCATGATTTTTCCAGGGACTGAGGTGAGGCTGACTGTCCTGTAGTTCCACAGATCCTCCTCCTTCCTTTTTTTAAAGATGGGCACTACATTAGCCTTTTTCCAGTCATCCGGGACCTCCCCCCATCGCCATGAGTTTTCAAAGATAATGGCCAATGGCTATGCAATCACATATTAATGTTGTGGCCCTTCCTTTCCTTCCTCATGTTGTATTTCCCACATGAATGGCAACATAATTTGTTTATTTCAATTTCAAAAGTAAAGGAGGTTGAGTTTCTCTGAATGTAAATAACTATATACCCAAACAACAGATGTACACAGCTGCCAGCTAGTATGTCTTGGTTCAGTTCTAACAAGCAGCAGACCAAGTTTCTTCAAAGCTATACCTGCAGACTTCGTTGAAAAACTTCACAAGGCTGGTTAGCCAACCACTGGCTGACTGATGGGCTGTTAGAAAGAAATTTCTCCTGTAGTTAGGCTATATTCCAGAATTGTTGTGTATGGGGTTTCTTGAGCCTCTCTCTGAGGCTCTGGTTCTGGCTACTACCAAAGACAAGACACTGGATTAGACAGCTCTCTGGTTTGTGTTGAGAGGTTGCTCCTGTGGATTTTTTAAAGCAGAGGTGGGCAAACTTTGGGCCACATTGGGGTTGTGCAACTGTATGGAGGGCAGGGTAGGGAAAGCTGTGCCTCCCCAAACTGCCTGGCCCCCCTCCCCCTCTCACTCCCCACCCCCTGCCTGCCCCCCTCAGCACTCCCAACCCATCCAACCACCCCTGTTCCTTGTCCCCTGACTGCCCCCTCCTGGGACCCCTGTTCCCTGATTGCCCTGACCCCCTTATCCACCCCCCCACGCCTGGACAGCCCCCGTCCTCGTCCCCTGACCACCCCCTGCCCCCCGGGATCCCACCCTCTTATCCAACCTCCCCTGCTCCCTGACTGCCCTCCTGGCCCCTATCCGGACTCCCACTCCCAACCCTCCCTGTTCCACATCCCCTGACCACCTCCGCCCCATCCAACTGCCCCCTCCTCCCTAACTGTCCCCCAGAATCCCCCCGCTCCCTTACCCAACCCCCCCAACCCCTTACCAGCAGCAGGAGCTCGCAGCCACGACACCCGGCCAGAGCCAGCTGCGCTCCCCATGCTGCCCAGCGAGAGCGTGGCTGCAGGGGAGGGGCCGGGAACTAGGCTCCCCAGTCGGGAGCTCAGATTTTTTCTTCAGTTCTTTAACAAACAAACAATCTGCTTCCTTGATGATTAGAAGGGCCTTTTTGAGCAGAGCCTGAGTATACCACCATCAAAGGCCAAGTCTCCCCACCCCCTCTTTGTCTGCACACTGCTGCAGGATTCTTACAGATCATGCTGATCAATATTGTCTAATTGTTTCCTTGTCTTTTTCTGTCTGTATCACCTAATGTTTTTGTATTGTACATAACCCTGTAGGCTCGTTGGGGCTGGGATTGTCCTTGTTGAGGCTGTGAGGTCCCAGTCTGTAAGTGGTGCTTCTAGGAGCTACCACAATACAAAAAATAAACACACAACATGCACTCTCAACACAATAGTGAAACTGAGTAAGATAAGATTTTTTCCCCTTCATTTTAACTTGTCTTCTTCAGTTACAGTAACCTTAAGGGATAAGGAAGTGTGATTTTTTTTTTCAAGTTGGTGTCCCTTTAATTTCTGCCAACGAGATCAGCTTGTCATTAATCTCTGTCCCTTTTACAGTGTGGATCTCAGGATTTAAAATGTACTAGAGCTCTTTTATAACAACACTAAATTAATTGTGCTTTATATAAATTTATGCTGGCCTACTCCTGTAGTAACAATTATCACACAAACCTTTTAACCATTTATTACATTCACAAAAAAAGGAAAATCAGTTAAAACATTTTACACTTTGTTTTGAAAACTTCCTTTTTTCTGTCTAGAGAAAAACTTTGCTTGATAGTCTTTGCTTGAAAAGTCAGATTTAGCTGGCAACTTCTGAGGCATTGTTGGTGAAGTCCAACCAACACACTTAAAATTACCCAGTGGGAGGTAGAAAAGATCCATGAAGATTATCAATTGCAGCTTCAGTTTGTTCCTTGCTTGCACTTTAGCTGCTAGAAAATCACTGGCATAGACCAGAAATTTATTAGCCATTCTGGTACTTAGTAATCTCAGTCAATCTTGTTTTTAGCTTGCCTCTTTGGTCACAGGTTTACAGCAATATTGCAAGGGTAGATTTGTTTTTGCTGGCTAAGCTGATCTCTTAGGAGACAGAAGGCAAAAAGAGGTAGAAGAAATAAGGAGGCACTGACACATAGGAAGGGAGTAATATTAGGAACATCAGGTTCATATCCTAGCTGTTGCTCAGGATTTACCTGACCCTCTGAAGGTGATGTCATCTGGCTCCCTCTACTTGTCTGATCAGATCAGGACATCATTCAGATTCAGGAAAATGATGTGGCAGTCCCAACAGGTGATGAGAGTAGTGACAACCATGATTAGTGAAGCTCTCTGACTCACAGTAAAGCCTTTCTCCTCCTCCCTCCCGGCAACAAGCTGCCAGCTGCCCCCAGAAAAATAGTACCCTATGTAAAAGGTTAAATGGACACAAATCAGATATTAGGAATGCCAATATACAAAAACCTCTAGGAGAACACTTCAACCTCCCAGGACACACACTAGCAGATTTAAAGGTAACCATCCTG